TACTGATATTCAGGGGGAGACATTCACTTAGAAATATTAGTTGTGGGATGTCAGTGTACTCCTCTGTACCCACAAAATCCACCACCAGACAAACTTCTTTGGAACGTGAAACTCACAAAAGAAAACTGAACCAAAACCAGTTATTACCCGCAATGAGTGAGTTACGTGTGTATACGAGAAGAAACAAAAGAAAAGCACGTGAATCATCCAAGTATTGCCATGAATCCACTCTTGATCCAGGTAATGTAATCTCTGTACCAACTCTTGATTCTAATATTCCTATTGTTTTGAGGAAGAGTACCCGGACATGCACCAAACATCCTATACAGGACTATGTTTCATTGAACAAATTGTTCTCGTAACATCATGCTTTTGTCTACAGGATAGACAGCAGCTCACCATAGCCCAGAACAATACATAAGGCTTTGGAAATTCCAGAATTGAAGATAGCTGTCCTAGATGAGATCAAGGCACTTGAAAAGAATGAGACATGGGAGCTAACCGATCTACCTCCAGGAAAGCGTTAAGTGGGGTATAAATGGGTCTTTACAACCAAATATAACCCAGATGGGAGTGTGAATCGGTTTAAGCCCCGCCTGATAGCCAAAGGCTATACTCAATCATATGGTGTAGACTATCTGGAGATGTTTGCACCGGTTGTCAAGCACAATACTATTCGGGTACTTCTCTCACTTGCATCTAATCTTAATTAGCCACTTTATCAACTAAATGTAAAAAATGCATTCCTTAATGACGATTTAAAAGAAATGTATATGAATATACCAACAGGGTTTGAAGTAACAGACAATCTTCAGAAAGTGTATAAACTGAAGAAATCACTCTATGGCCTACAACAATCTCCAAGGGCATAGTTTGATAGATTCACAAGAGCCGTAAAGCATAAAAGATATGAACAATGTCAATCCGATCATATACTATTTGTCAAACACTGCATCTTAGGTAAGAAAGCTATTTTGATTGTATACGTTGATGATATCATTCTTACAGGAGATCACCTTGAAAAGATTCAGAAATTTAAAGAATTCATGCCTAGAGAATTTGAAATAAAAGATCTTGAGATACTAAAATACTTTCTCGGTACGGAAGTGGCTAGATCCAAAAATGAAATTTCAGTATTTCAACGAAAGTACGTTCTGGATCTCCTAAAAGAGACTGGGATGTTAGGAAGCTAACCTGCTGACACCCGATGAAATCAGTTATCAAACTTGGATCCAAAATCAGTGATAAAATTGTTGACAAAAGAAGATACCAGAGACTTATTGGGAAACTTATCTACTTAGCACATACAAGACCAGACATCAATTTTGCAGTGAGTACAGTAAATCAGTTCATGAAACAGCTAACTGAAGATCACATGAGAGCTATGTATCGAATTCTAAGGTATCTCAAGATGACTCCAGGACAAGAATTGTTCTTTTAGAAGACAAAAAGAAGAGGTGTTGAAATTTAAACTGATGCATATTGGACAGGTTCTACAGATGACAGAAGATCTACATCAGGATATTGTACCTATATTTGAGGTAACCTGGTTACCTGGAGAATCAAGAAACAATCGGTTGTGTCTCGCAGTAGTGCAAAATCTGAATTTATGGCACTTGTTCATGGTATTTGTGAAGGTGTATGGTTGAAGAAGATACTTGAAGAATTAAAAACCCTTAATAATATGCCTATGAAAGTATGATGCGACAACCAATTAACTATCAATATGGTCAAAAATCCAATACACCATGACAAAACTAAACATGTGGAGATCGACCGTCATTTTATAAAAGAAAAATTGGAAGATGGAGCTATTGTTCTGATGCACATTCCAACGAATCAACAGATTGCAGATATTCTAACAAAATCTCTACCCAAAAGAAACTTTGATGACATAATATCCAATCTAGGTTTACTAAACATATATGTAAACTAAATTGCGAGGGAGTGTAGAAAAATAAGGGAATAAATTCTAAATTAATTTTGTTAGATGTACAATTTTTGTTTTCTGTTGTAAATGGAGGCAGTCACAAATTTGGTGGAGAATAACCAATTTTGTTATTTCCTCCTCCCCATAATTCTGTTAGGAATTTGTTAGAAGTTAGACTGTATATATATACCTTTGATGAATGGAAATGATAAGCAGAAGCATTATTTCCTACATTAAATTCTTTACTTTCTTCATTTATTGTTCTACATCTGTCTGGCAATTGGGGGTGAAAAGTAACTTCTTTTTTAAGTTCTGGTGGAAGA